TCCGGGCCTCACTGAAAATGACCAGCGACTGCTTGGATGAGCAGCCACCGTTTTCCTGCATACCCCCTCCGTGGTTCTTGCTTACAGATGTCAATTGGTACGTCCTGTCGTCCAATGGCATCCCGTCAGCTATCTTAAATATCCACTCTTGGCAAATCAAATGAACTTAAAATTATTATTACCATCAGTTAACAGCTGCACCCTGACCAGTGTCTAAAGCTCACAAAATCTGTCTGCTTCAACATCACCTTCTTCTTGGGGAAAATTTAAAAGAACCTACAGTTAAATTATTTGGATGAATGAGAGTTTAGAAAATTTGCATAATACAAAACCATACCAAAAAAAAAAAAATCAGTGCATTTCTATACAACAGCCATCAATAAGAAATAATATTTACAACAGTCAAGAAATCAAGACCTATACTATGCTATGATACTGGACTTAATAACAAAGATGTCAATTCTCACCTAATGAATCTAAGTTTTAATGCATTTGCTATCAAGTCACAGTGCTTGACAAGTTTACATAAACTTATTGGAAAAGCAAAGGGACAAAAATATCCAAGACACTCTACAGAAGGCAGGATTACATTAAAATGAAAGACATCTGTTAAGTGACATCTTAAAATAAGTGGAAAGACAAAGCTCAAAATGGGAGAAGTTATATTAAGAATTCATAACCAACACAAGTTTGCATCCAGGATATATGGATGACCCTATGAATTAGGAAAAACATGACACCCCCCAAAACACGGACCAAGGCCATAACAGGCACCTCACAGGAACTGCCCCAAATGGCCCATAACGATAAACATATAAAAAGGCACTGAGTTGTCATTAATCAGTAAAGGGAAAATTAAAACTACAGAAAGACACCTTTACAAACCACCAGAACAGACAAATTTTAAAGTGTAACAGCATAAGGATTGGAGGCACTTTCATGCTCTGCTGGGGAGAGTTCAAGAGATAAAACCTACTTTTGGAAACATTTCTGAATCACTAGTTCACCCGAGAGAAATTCTTGCAAATGTGGTTATTTGTAATGTCATCACACTGGGGACAATTTAAATACCAATCAATGGGAAGACGGATGAATAGTGACACAGTTACCTAAGGGAATACTATACAGCAGGGAAATAATTGAACTGCAGCTACAAACATCACCATGTGAGGCCTTATAAACATAGTGCTAAACAGCATTGACTTTCTCTAGTCAGCCACAGAATCAATTCAAAGAAGCCAAAAGAAATTGATACTTTTTAGAAAATCATATATATGTGGCACATTTTTATTTTTTATTTTTTACTAGAGGCCCAGTGCATGAAACTCATGCGCCGGTGGGGGGGGGGGGGTCCCTCAGTCCAGTCTGTGCCCTCTCACAGTCCAGGACTCCTAGGGGGATGTCCACCGTGGGGGCGCACTGACCACCAGGGGGCAGCTTCTGCTTTGAGCATCTGCCCCCTTGTGGTCAGTGTGCATTATAGTGACCGGTCATTCCGCAGTTTGGTTGATTTGCATATTAGGCTTTTATTATATAGGATTGTTGACACTATTACAGATGTTCACCACAAGGTTGTCAGAGTCTATGGGTTATGTAAATAATAGTGGCCCAGTTCATGAAACTGGTGCACAGGGTTGGGGGTGGGGGATATCCCTCAGCCTGGCTTGCACCTCTCCAATCTGGGACTCCTCGAAAGATGTCCTACTGCTGGTTTACAGGGAGTGAACCGAAACCGGCAGTGGAACATCCCTCTAGCAAGCTGGGACTTCTGGCTCCTAATCGCTCACCTGCCTAACTGCCTGACTGCCCTAACCACTTTGCCTGCTGGCCTACTTGCCCCAAACTGCCCCTCATCGCTGGCCTGCTTGCCCCCAAATGCCCCCCCCCCACCAGCATGATCACCCCCAACTGCCCCCCTGCTGGCCTGCTCACTTCAAACTGCCCCTTTCCCTGCTGTCCTAATCATCTCCAACAGACCCCCACTGATGTCCTGCTTGCCCCCAACTGGCCCCCTTGCTGGTCTGCTTACCTCCAATGGCCCTGCCCTCCACCAGCCTGAGCACTCACAACTGCTGTCCCATCCTGGCCTGATCACCCACAACCTCCCTCCCCTTTTGGCCTCTAATTGCCTCTACCTCAGCCCCGTCACCATGGCTTTGTCCAGAAGAATGTCCGGAAGGTCTCCTGGAAGGTCTCCCAATCTAATTAGCATTTTATTAGTATAGAGTCCTGGTGCATGGGTGGGGGCCGGCTGGATGTCCCAGTTCAGCGTGGGGGTTCCCTTGGGGTGTGGGGTGGCCTGGGCAAGGGGCCTGTGGTTGTTTTCAGGCTGGCCACGCCCCCATGGTGTTAGGATCCCAGCTGGAAGGACATGGCCAGCCTGGGTGAGGGGCTGAGGGCTGTTTTCAAGCTGGAAACACCCCCTTCAGGGTGGGGGTCCCCTCTAGGGTGCCTGCCCAGCCTGGGTGAGGAGCTGATGGCTGTTTGCAGGCTGGACAAGCCCCTAGCCACAAGTGGAGACCCTTACCCCATGGGAATGTGGCCAGCCTGGGTGAGGAGCTGAAGGCTGTTTCAGGCTGGCCATGCCCCCTGGCGATCTAGGCTCCCAGCCCCTCCTTTTTATCTTTTTTCTTTTTTTTCTTTTTTTATCTTGAGCCAGGGCCACCTGGAAGCAGGTATCTGAGATTTATTTATCTTCTACAATTGAAACTTTGTAGCCTTGAGCAGAGGCCAGGGCCAGCCAAGATGGGTGGAAAACTTGGCTTCCTCCATTGCTGGGGACAACCCAAGCCTCCTACTCACTCCAGCTCTGTGGCCGCCACCACCTTAGTTGGGTTAATTTGCATACTCAATCCTGATTGGCTGCTGAGTGTGGCTGGTAAGTGTAACAGAAGTACAGTCAATTTGCATGTTTCTCTTTTATTAGGGTAGATGTTCTTTGGCTTGTCCCTTCACCTTTTTTCATCTAGTTTCTCATGCCACCCTCCCCTCTGATAGTTATCAGACTATGCCACGTATCCATGCATATGTTTCTAATGTTTGTCAGTTTACTTTAAAAAAAGATTTTTTATGATTTCAGAGAGGAAGGGAGAGGGAGAGAGAGATAGAAACATCAATGATGTGGCTGTCTCCTGCACACCCCCTACTGGGGATCAAGCCCACAACCGGGCATGTGGCCTTGAGTGGAATCAAATCTGGGATCCTCAGTTCACAGGCTGACGCTCTATCCACTGAGCCAAACCAGCTAGGGCTGTCAGTTTATTTTGTTCATTAGATTCCATACCTTAGTGAGATAATATAATATTTCTCTGACTGGCTTATTTCACTTGGCATAATAATCTCCAGGCCCATCCACACTATTACAAAAGGTAAGAGTTCCTTCCTCTGGGGGGGGGCCTTGTAGTATTCCACTGTGTGAATGTATCACAGAAGAAGCCACATTGAGACTGGTAGGAAGGGCAGAGATCAGAAAGGAGCTTGCCCAGAGAGGCATGAAGCCTAAATCCCAGCTTGGATCCCCAGCTTGGAGTGCCAGAGCCAGGAAGAGGGGCCTGTGTAGCATCCAGCTGTGACAAGCAGCAAGGTTTCAATTGCCCACAGAGAGGTAGAGCACACAGGAGATACAGGCACCCTCTTAAGGGGCCCACACACAAACTTGCTTTTGCAGCCCATCACCCTGGGCTCCAGTGGAGGGAGAGCAGTGCAGACTGGAGTTGCCTGAGGTGAGTCTGGGGGTTTGTGCTTTGGAGAAAGAGGTGGCGAACAGCCAAAATATACCGTATACCATCCCTGTCATCACTTTGTTTTAGTGGAAATAGATGAAAATGGTCTTTTCTAAGCACCAGACTATATCCAGAAGTAGCCTTCCTAAAGTGGTAGGATAAACAAGTGTTTTAGAATTTGAAAGACCAAGATCTAGATCACCCAGTCAAACCAACCTACCAGTGCAGAATTCCCGTAACAATATCTCAGACAAATGGCCACCTTTCCCTGCTTGAGCACAAGCTGTGTGGAAGACAGCTGGGGTAATGAACAGCATGTCTGTGGTTGTGGAGTTCTCACCAGGACTAAGTGCTTCCCTATCCCATTCCCAGAATACCTCTCAAACTTCTGACCACTGCTTTCACCAGCCCTGGCTCAAAGGAACTCGAACTCATCGCATCCAGGCTCATCCATGGCGTGGAAGCCGTGCATGGGTGCATCTGGGACTCAGGCCTGTGTGGTGGCTATGAGAGCTATGTGTGGCTACTTCTGGAGTCCATGCATTTCCCCATGTAACTCTCCACGTTCAATGCTAGCGCTCAATGCTAGTGGTCAGATGTTATTTATTATATGAGAACTAGAGGCCTGGTGCACAGATTCGTGCACCAGTGGGGTCCCTCAGCCTGGCCTGTGCCCTCTCACAATCCAGGGGATGTCGGACTGCTGGTTTTGGTTCTATCCATGCAGGCCCTGGTGGGACTGGGCCGAAACCGGCAGTCCGACATCCCCCGAGGGATGTAGTAAGGTGCAAAGTGGCAGGCAGCCAGGGAGGAGCCCAAGCCTGGGCCAGGTGGCACACTGCTCCAGCTCATCCCTGCCTCACTGTGCCTGCCGCTGCTGCTCATAGCGCTGCTGCTCATAGCGCTGCTGCTCATAGCACTGCTGCAGAGATGGTAGAAGCTCATGCTGCTGCAGCTGCGCTTGCCAGCCATGGCATCTGGTGCCCTCCAGTCAGCTGAGTGGCTCTCCCACTGTGGGAGTGCACCGACCACTAGGGAGGAAGTCCTGTTTTGAGTGTCTGCCTCCTGGTGATCAGTGTGCATCATAGTGACTGGTCTACCCGTCGTTTGATCAGTCGCTTAGGCTTTTATATAGATAGATGAAATCTCTGCCACTCTAGCTTCTCCCATGAATTCCTGTTTTGCTATCTGGTGCATCACAAAAACACACCCTTCATTCGTAAGACACTAGACATGGCATTTCCCCTTAGTATTAATACAATGCACAATCCGCCTTACCTGTAGAGATCGGTGATCATCTTGTCGTCAAACCGAGCACACAGGTTGTTGAGGGCTTGCTCGTGCTGCCCAAACAAGCGAATGTAATTGGAGGTAGGGAAAGGCTCCTTAGAGAGGCATGTGATGGTCTCCACCATTTTATAGTTGTTAATATGAATTCGGAAATAAGTGCCTTTTTTTGCTTTACCTGTTATTATTTCTTCACCCTGAAAGGGGGGTAAGGGTAGGAGAGAATGGATCAGAAAAAACAAACAAAAAAAAAAAAAAAAAAACACACACAAAAAAAAAAACACATTAGAAATATTTCTGAACATTGGAACTTTATCATAGCAATTAGTTTTCCAAATATAACAAACTAGGTTATATCTTTGGCTTGTTGCAAATAAATGTAACAGATATTGACTAATCTCAACAGAAGATAGCTGTGTCCGAAGGCACAGACTTGGACTTAATGACTAATTGTTCCTCGGGTTATTTTAACCTGTGATTGCATCGTTAGGAGTTTCTAAATTAGTTGCTAGGTTACAGCCAATTCTCTAATCCTCAGCACCTCACACAGCTAATACGTGGGGCTGGGCTTACTCTGCTCGGTGATGTGTGTTAAGACTGCTAATTTTTGTAGTTTTCCACAGCACCGTTTTGAGAAAAACTCCTAGTCAAAAACAATCAGAAAGATTTTCAGCTTTTTCAAGTTTACTTAAATAAAGGAAATGAGTAAAAGGTGAATGTCTGACAACTTGGATTGGGGAGGTTTGGCTGTTTGGGAAGGCCTGTTTCCAGGGAGAAGGTTCAAGACTATGGAAATACACATACACAGTCTGCAGGCCACCTTTTTGCTTGTAATTGTCAACGCCTTATGTCCCCTAGAAACTGGCTGGCACTGCCATAGAAGCCCAGATGACAAGGAAAGATGCCACTCAATTCCATGTCACCACCACCTTTTCTATGTCAGCCCCTAGTGACGACTGACCTACCGACCAGGACACACTCTCCATGGGCTCAGGCAACCAAACTGAGAACCCGTGGCAGACAAATAGGTTTTGTTGATGGTGGATGAACCTTCCGTTTACCCGCAGACTCTGAACGCAGACTCATGGTCACACTCAATAAATCTTTCCTGAGTGCATATAGATTTAAGGTTTTGCTCTGAACTTGAATGTGGCATTTATAAATCCAAGGCAAGTTGGACTACACTGATCCCAAACATTGACTTGGTCTCGGACCTCCCCTGGGGATTTTGTCTAAACAAGGACACACAGTTTAAGTAGATTTTTAAGATATATTGAAGCAACAGGTGGGTGTTTGGATATCATATTGCAAAAACCCGAGAAGGTACAAGGTGAGATTTACAGGAGGAATATCAGGTAAATCCTGGGCCAGTCTCAAGTACGTGTGAGAAATTGGGTATTTGGGGTGGGAGGGAGAGCAAACATAATTTAGTAAAAGGCTTGGGGGGTGCAAGCTGCCCATCCTTCATAGAGATGGATGGATACAGAGAGAAAATCTACCTGCACAGCAAAGAATTAAAAAACAATTCAGCAAGGCATTACCTAACAGAACAATGGTACATCCTAATGATAAGGTACAGCACATCCCCTGTTATAAACTATACTTCACAACAGGGCAATATGTTCACAGTACATTTTATACTGTAGAAGCAGATAATTCCTTTTTTAATCAACATTTTAACAAATGTCATTTTCTGAGGTTGGGAGACTAAGTCATTTTTGTTGTTTCTATTTCTGTTCATTTGACTACGTGGAATTTCTAGTTTTTAAACAATGACTATCACTTCTAAAATGATAAGTCATTTTTAAGTACTCTAGTTGTGCTGTGGCAACGAACTAGACTTTTGATGAAAAAAAAAATGAGAGGAAGAGACATGAAACAGAAAGCAGAAGAAGAAAGAGGGAGGGGAGAGAGGGAGGGAGGGAGGGAGGGAGGGAGGGAGAGAGGGAGGGAGGGAGGGGAACTGTGACTGGATAGGGGTTGTCCGGAGAAGAGTTTGGAAAAAGCCAGCTTGAGCCACAGGCAGCAGACTTTCTGGTGTCCTTATCTAATTGCCCCCTTTACCCTTTGTTCTTGCTACCGCATTTTTCTGATCCCAGATCACCTCATACACTTTTAAATTCAGATCGGTTTCCTCGGGAATTCACATATATATAATATATTATATATATTATATATATTATATATTATATATGTTATATATATAATATATATAACATATTATATATATATATATATATATATATACACACACACACACACACACACACACACACACACATAACTGATTTCAGAGAGGAAGGGAAAGAGAGAGAAAGAGATAGAAACTTCAATGATGAGAGAGAATCATTGATCAGCTGCCTCCTGCACACCCCACCCACACTGGAAATCCAGCCCACAACCTGGGCATGTGTCCCAACCGAATGGGAATCAAATCATGACCTCCGGGTTCCTAGGCTGATGCTCAGCCACACCATCTGGGCATCCTCAGGAATTCTTGACTTCTCAGATGGAGCAATGAACACACCAGGCTGGGGCATTTGGCATCACAGAATAATCTCTGGCATCAACTCCATCACAGCAAACACTATTTCTGAATCAAATACACACAGACCATGGGAGTAAAGAATGTGCCCTCCTGCACCTTTCTAACAACTGGTGCAAGGCTTAGAGACCATTTGAGTTGGTGCCAGCAGCTTTAGGCCAGGAAGCCCCTTGCAGTAGGGTTGCCTTAGAAAAGCTGAGTGAGTGCCTGAGGAGGGGCACGCCCTCACCGTGGTGGGAGGGTGGCTGGGGGTCCAGGAGAGAGGGCCCTGTCAACAGCTTTGGCACAGTTTTAGCACCAAATGTCTCCAGGGTTCACCAGAGAGCAGAGTCAGCCATCCCACAAGGTTATGACCCCTCCTCCTTACAATTTCTTTACGTGAATGAATAAGAAAGGGAACCCGGGCATCAAAGGGGCACCCCATGCGATGTGCCCATGTGGCTGACAAAGTTTTGACCTAGCAGCCTTTCACTAAACACTCCACTTTCTGCTCACAAGGACCCTGTGTATAGCGGAGATGGTTTGGGGCACCGTGAGGTGGAGCCCAATGAGGCTGCTGGCCGACAGCAAGGAGTCTGAGCAGACGAGCCCTTGGGTGTCAGGCAGGTCCAAGAGGGCTGCCTTGTCAGCGTCATTCTCAATGACTTCATCACAATCTGTTTGTTTGGGGGCTTTTTCTTTTTTTTTGTCTTACTTTTCAATTTAAAAATTGAATTCTAATCTTTGGGTTGCTTCTGTATGTTTTCACACATCATGGCTATGAGGGCTTAAAGAATGTAAAAAGTGGTCACACTGTAGAGAAAGAAATGACTTGTGCTATGATGGCTAACATTAATTAAAAAAGTAATTGCGTCCACTTCACGAGATGTGACATTCTGTTAGCTCAGTGGAGGTGGGGAGCGTTCTGTGAATTTGGAGCACATCGGTATTTTTGTACTGACATTAAGGACAATTCACCTACACATGGGCTTCTCAGACAGATTAGCGTTGGAGGGCCAGACCCATCTACATTTCTTGGGTCATTCCTGTATGGTGGCTCACAGATTGGGAAAATCCTGCCTCTCCTCACAGAAAGTCGCTCCACTAATGACAAGGCAGCTTCCAGCTCTGCCATCCCATGAGGGAACCCAGGAGTAATTCTGGGGGGTGTGTCCAGTTCCTCCTTTTATGTATGTAAGCAAGTTGTTAGGAAATTTGGATCTTGAATTTAAGATTTTAGTGCTGTAACTGGTTCTGGTGTGTTTCCTTTTCCTTCTTTTGGATACAATCATCCTTTTAAGTTCCTTTATGATTCTGACCAAAGTTGGGAGAGGGCTCTGGAATTTATGCCAAATGGAAGACACAGGATTAATCAAACTTGGTGTGCAAGAAATTGAGTTCCCAAGTCTCGTGATAAACGCACAATTTTAAATTTAATGGCATTCACAGCAGAACTTGTTGTGACAAATTCCTTTACTCGGTGGTGTATAGCCAACGAAGCATGTGGACTGGAATCTGTAAAGATTACCTCATTACGGAGATGATTTGAGGTCCTTTTTATTCCTTTTGTCAGATTACCTCTCTGAGAGCTCATTAATTAATAAACTACTAACCTAAATATTCCAATTCATGAGTGCTACAGAAGTCCGAAATCTGTACTACATTTATGATAAAAATAGTAATTTCCTTTTTTTGGTGAAATATTGTTCAATAGCTCCACCCTTGATCAATTGGTTATATTTAGGTGACTGCCTGAGAATTTTGGCAACAATTCTACTTCATCAAATTAATCCCAACTCCAAAAGATTGTCATGAAACCTTCCTACATTTTTTTTTTCTTGGAGAATAAAACAAGAAAAAAATCTGTTTACATCTACTGAACTTATTAAAAAAGAGGCACACCGGGCAAAATGGTTCATTAAAGTCAGGGATCCTGTTCACATACCATCATAGTGGCAGCCACAGAATCTCCCTCATTCCCTAAAAAACCCTTTGGCTCCTCCTCTGACTTTATTTAGAGATAGCCCTGGTTCATAAATAAAGGACACAGTGTGTAGGAAATCACAGTGTCCTTGAAGAATCTGGTTCTGTCTGAAACCACGTCCAGTATTTTTCTGCTCTTGAACATCTTTGGCTCCAGTTACTTATTGACGATGACCAAAGTGCACAGCCTCTGAACACGTCATCTGGGCTTCATCCTGTTCATGAAATACCCCATCTCATCAGTGGCAGATTGTATTCTACAAAGATGGCCACCCATCCCTCATTGTTTCTACTGACACTCTTCCCACTGACACTCTTCCCACTGAGAGATGAACTCTACGGCCCCTCTCCTTGAGTCCTGGTGGGCTGTGACTGCTCCAACCGAGGGCGTGAAGGCGGTAGTGCTGTGTGACTCTCGAGGCCAGTCATGGGAAGCAATGCAGCTTCTAATTGCTAGTGGGGACACTTGAACTCAGAGCCCTAAGAAATCTGACTACTCTGAGGTTACCAGGCTATGAGGAAGCCCGGGTCACACGGACAGCTCAGGTGTGATGCTCTGGTCAGCGCTCCCTGTGTTTGAATCATTCCAGCCCTTCAGAAGATCCAACCATTGTGTTGGCTCTAACGGTCAAGTCCAGACATAGCGGAACAGTGGCAAGCCCTTCCCACTGTGTCCTGTCTGAATTCCTGACCCATAGAATCTGAGCAGAATCAAATGGCCGCTTCATTTCTGTTACATAGCAACGGAAACTGGAACATCATTTGCTTCGATCCTTTATTTGTAAGAAAGTTTTTCATCAGACCACATGTAATAAGTACCCCTAAAAGAGTCTGGGAGAGGCCCAAGGCAAATAAGGTTTAAACACAGAGCATTTGGCCTTTCCCCAGAGGAAAAAGATTTCATTCTTTATCTAAAACTATGATCAACAACATCCACCACTGATGGGTCACCTGTTTTGTTCCTAAAAGGCAGTTTTACTCTATATGTAATCCCTAAGAATCCCAGACACCCAGGGAAGTTGAATAACTTCTCCAAAGCCCATGGGAAGTATATGGAAGAGCTGGGATTCCAATTTTCTGAAGGGAGAAGGGTGAGGGGCCAAGAGTGTGTACAGTTTGAGTTTGTCCCCCTTTGGAGGAATTTTCCAATAGTATTCACTTACATCTCATTGACAAGAACCTGCCACAGGGCTGATTCTATTCTCAAGGAAATCTGGGAAATGCGATTACTGTGGTCATTGTCATCAACACCCCAAAATACTCAGGATACGAAAATGGAAACAGAGGTTACGTTGCCAACTTCCAGTGTCTGACTCACTGACAAAAAAAGCAAACATGACACATCAGAAAGAAAACCCCCAATTGACCACAAACACCCCTTTTGGACCATCTGTCAGAGTATCTTATTTAAGGAGCTTGCCAACTGACCAACCACACGTGTCCTTCTGGTTATCTGGAACCCAAGGATGTCCCCTCATTATACTTCTGCATCTTTTGGATGGTCCTTCTTGTGTAATTCAGGGAGGGCAGGAGAACAACAGGGTTTCAAGGGCATTCCAAACCCTATGCAATTTATATACTTGCTATGTTGCCATGAAGGCAATTATTTTAGTTACCTATTGCTGTATCACAGGTTACCTCAAAACTTAGTGGCTTAATGTCCTTCAATAGGTGAATGAAGAAATTAACTATGATATATTCAGATAAAGGAATGCTATTTAGCACTAAAAAGAAGTGAGCTATCAAGCCATGTAGCACAAATACATATTACAAAGTGAAAGAAGCAAACAAGGGTGGGGGGGGAGGGAAGTGGAAGAGGGCATAGAGGGATAAATGGCAATGGGAAAAATTAAATTAAATTTGAAAAAGAGAAGCCAATCTGAAAAGGCTACATACTACACAATTCCAACTATCTGATATTCTGGATAAGGCAAAACTATGGAGATGGTATAAAGGTCAGTGGGTGCCAGGAGTTAAGGGTGAGAGTGATAAAGAAGAGGAGCACAGAGGATTCTTAGGATAGTGAAACACTCTGTATGATACTGTAATGATGGATACATGTCACTATACATTAGTCCAAACCCCTAGAATATACAACTCTAGACTTTGGGTGGTAATGATGTATCAATGTAAGTTCATCAATCATAACTAATGTACCACTTTGATTGGGGATGTTGATAATGGGGACAGTATGCATGAATGGGAGCAGGGGTAGATGGGAAATCTCTGTACTTTCCTCTCAATTTTGTTTTGAACCTAAAACTGCTCTTTAAAAAAACCTATTAAAAAACAATTAGTGGCTCCAAACAATAAGCTTGCATAAAATGGGAGTGGTGCAAGTTAGAAGCTGTAATATCTTTCATCACCTAACCCTGGAAGTCTCAAACTGTCATTTCCACAAAATCCTGTTGGCTACAGAGGTCAGCCCTATTCAGTGTGGTAGGGGAGCACACAGGGGCATGAATAGCAAGAGGCAGGAGTCATTGAGGGCCATCTTGGCGACTGGCTACTGCGGTGGCTTTCTGATGTATGAACTAATACATTACACTAAATATCTGAACAAATAATTTTCACCCCTGTACACAAAGTGTTATATTTGAAAGATAAAGGAAATTTAGAAATAATACTTACATAATCAGGCTGGGCCATTTGTACCTCCAAGAGCGTTGGAATGCCAGGCTTGCTGATATGCAGATAATGGTAAGACCCAGGAAGAATGCCTCCTAGAGGAAATGGCAAGTTTTCCACATTTTAATTTAGTTGTTAACAAGGTAGATAACATGTTAATAAGGTGAGTGAGCTTAAATAAGTACTACAGGACAAATGGAGATGCCTAAATGGTGTATGCTACTCAAACATTCCCACTAAAGGACTGGGATGGTAGGGATTTACTTAACAAGACCAGTGTGAATGTACCATTATACCCCGTAATGTAGCAACAGCGCTCCAAGATGATGTGCTAAGCTGATCCTGTGTATCCTTTGATTTCTCATGATTCCTGTTACTCTACCTGCCAAAGCCAAACCAAGACCTTTAGAGTCTAAATGTTGCAATGGTTTTCCCTAGCATGCCTCCAATATTAAAATTCTAAAAGTGTTATAAGGAAAATAAATTCTTGTTGAATGTTTTAGAAAACTATTATTATCAAACTATTAATATTTCTAGTTTGTCCCAGAAGTATGAGCCTGACCTAATTCTGGCCTCTGATACCCATCCCTTCTCTTCCTCTTTCCCATGTTCTCATCGAGAATGAGAATCAGAGCAGGCCTTCTCTGAGGCCATTTAGATAGATAGAAAAAGATAAGCTCTGGAATATAGGGCTTTTGTCTCTTTAGTCTAATGTCTATTTACTGGCTTAGGGTCCATGGGCACCCTAGGGGGTCTATGGATGGTTTTGGGTATTAGTCCTTTAACCTTTTGGAAGTAAACAAAAGTTTGTAAGTATATGCACTTTTTTCTAGTAGAAGATTTATAACATTCAAAGATACTATTTCCAAAGATATTTCTCAATTCTCAAACATACTAGATATTTCTCAATTCTCAAACATACTGTAAAGAAATCCTGTATTACTTATATGATCTTCTTAGAGGTCAACAAGGCTTAATAGATGAATGTGACTGTTTATAGCTGCAAATGGTTTGGCTTATCCATCCAGATAGCAGCTAAGGCCTGGGATGCTTGGAAGGGTCTCTTTATCTCTGTACTTATAGTGAGAATGAAAGTTTGGGAAGATGTCAAAGCATTGTGCCATTATGACCAGTTGTGAGTAACTTCTGGGCAAGTCACTGATAATGCACCAGTCTGTTTAAACACAGTTATTATATAGTCTATAATAAATGCTAAAATTGCCAAGGGCCATAATGATAATAATGCTATGCCCATAATAAATGCTTAAAAAATGAGAGGGAGAGCCCTCCTCTGTTTCTGTGCAGAGAACTCTCCCCACTAAGCCTAAGAGAAAGATGGAGGACTGCCCTGAGCACCAACCCAGACCCAACTGGTGGCTTCATCAGGGGGAAGAAGGTGGCTTACCACACACCTTGGATCTTGGCTCCCTTGTACATGGGAATGAGTCGGTCAAGGTCAGCCGGTGGCTCGATCACAGGCTCAAGGGTTGGATCAAAGAGACAGAGCATAGCTGCTGCCAGTTGGAAGCCAACTTCTTTGGAACTGAAGTTGCTGTGAGACCACTGATTTGAGTAATATCTATTGGAGAATTTGGTGAGGGAGCCAGCAGCTCTGATGGCTATGTCATTGGTGTGGAAGTTCGTATCAATCACAAGTCGGCCATCATAGACAAGACATGCATCATTTAATGCTTTAAATGTTTCATAATCCACATTCTTCTCATAGAAGCTAAAGAAGACCTACCAAGTGAACAATTACATTGTTACTTAGTTACCACTCTTTACCTTCCCAAGAGTTTGAACAATCAACATTTTATTATTTGAGGAACACACAAAAAATCTAGGTCTACTAAAGTTTGTCATAATCATGTGTGTGTTGTGTGTGTGTGTGTGTGTGTGTGTGTGTGTGAGAGAGAGAGAGAGAGAGAGAGAGAGAGAGAGAGAGAGAGAGAGAGAGAGAGAGACTCCTGTTTGCTATGAAGAACAAATTATGATCAACCAGTGTTACTATTTTTTTTTTTTTTATCACTCAGTCTAGATATTCTGTGGAAAGGATGCCAAATGATGAAATAGCTATCATAAGAGTCAATATTTTTTTCCAACAAAGAGGTTTACAATTCAGGGGACACCACTTTCCCCATATTCTTCTATATTTTACTAATGTTATTTATTTACTTACTTATTGTTAATCCTCACCTGAGGATATTTTTCCATTGACTTTTAGAGAGAGTGGAAGGAGGGGAAGAGACACAGAGAGAAAGACATCCATGTGAGAGAGACACATTGATTGGTTGCCTCCCTTATGAGGCTGGGAACTGAGTTTGCAATCCAGATACATGCCCTTGATTGGAATCAAACCCCCAATTCAAGGGCTGACACTCTATCCACTGAGCCAAACCAGCTAGGGCTCATTCTTCTATAGTTAAAATAACTATCTGATTCATTTGCCTCTCAGCATAACCATTATGGCTTGTCTCAGTTTTGGTTCTTATAAGGGAATCCTTTGTATCACATGAACTAATGCATCTAGGGGAAATAATGAACAACATAAATTGAACAGAAACAGATTTGGAGACAGAGAAGCAGTGATCAAACTGTCAAATCTCAGAGGGAAGGTAGGGAAGGGTGGGGGTAAGGAGGAGAGATCAACCAAAGGACTTGTGTGTATGCATATAAGCCTAACCAGTGGTCATGGACAACAGGGGGTGGGCATCTGGGGAGGGGTTTGGGATGGGAATAGGGGGATGAGGACAATTATGTGATACCATAATCAATAAAGAAATTTAAAAAAAAAAGTCCTCACACAATAAAACAATAAAAATAAAATATCTCGGCCTCCATCTTTCTCTTCTTATTCATGTGTCTGACATTTAGGTCTCTCTAGATTCCTTCTTATGGTCACCTCATCTAATCTTGAGTTGTCAAATTGCCCCATCATTCCTGGCCTTTTAAACCCTTAAAGCCTGACCTACAAGATGCCACAGAAAAGATGAGAGCTCCATCAGCCTCAGCATCTACCACATCTGTGCTCCTCCCTTGTTGCTTTCTACCCTGATATGGCACACAGTCACTGAATAAATATTTATGGAGTACCTACCAAGGGCCACAAAGCCCTCTGCATATTCCTTAGAAGTGATTGGTATACCCCTCCACTCTCTGCCCAAATTTCAATGCTTTCTCATGCTCATCTGAACATCTTCTTCTAAGTTGATGTTGAATATCATTAAAGCAGTGAAAGTTATTTGTTTTAAAGCCCTCCATTATTGTTGAAGCAGTTGAGATAAGTTTAATCATTTTATTCTTACCTAAACATAATTAGCCACCTTATTTAAAGCATGCTAAAAATAAAAACATGATCTGGATCCTCATCATATTGATGGCTGCCTCCCTGCTTCCTCCACAAGCTTGCTTTACCCACCTCATTTGCCTCATTCTGTATAAAAATAAGCTGTTTTGTACCAAAAGTAACCCTCTCTCACATCCCTTCCCTACATTCATGAATGGTACCTAAATGATGAATAATCCTGTGGTAGAGATTAGTCATGCATAGCTATGTAAATTTAAATCTAAATTAATTAAAAGTAAACAAACTTTAAAATCCAGACCCACAGTTGTACTGAGGCAGGATAGTTAGAAGCTAGGGAAATTCCCAGGCAAGTGACCAGTCGTTTTGCCATTCAGTCGATTTGCATATTAGCCTTTTATTATATAGGATCACCAGGGGGCAGATGCTCAAGGCAGGCGCTTCCCCCTGATGGTCAGTGTGCTCCCATAGGGGGAGCACTGCTCAGCCAGAAGCCAGGATCATGGCTGGCGAGTGCAGCGGCGGTGGCAAGAGCCTCTCCTGCCTCCATGGCAATTGAACACCCCTCCAAGCGCTCTCAGACTGCGAGAGGCTGAGGGACCACCCCCCAAGTGCACAAATTTGTGCACCGGGCCTCTAGTATTACTATAATAAAGGATAAAAGCATGTGCATGTGGTCATCTAAGTGGATACAGATATGGTGTTTGACAAAATCCAGTACCTTTTGTGATAAAAACATTCACTATACTCTAAGTATATGGGAGGTATCTCAACCCAATAAGAAGCTTATACAAAAAATCCCACAGCCAGTGTCATACTTAATAATGGTAGACTGAATACTCTCTCCTTCATATAAGAAATAAAACCAGGATACCCTTGTACTGTAGGTCCTAGGTAGCATGATTAAGGATTCAAAAGAAATAAAAGTCATGTGAATTATAAGGAGAGAAATAAGCAAAGGGGGAAGCCAGACATTATAGGTGTGTCGTTTGGGCAGTTTCACCAGGAAGCTGCCACTTTGCACTCCCTGGGGAACCACCATCCCATTCCCTGCAAAACACTGGGAAAAGGGATCCAACAAAGGGAAAATAGACACATGCCCAGTAAAGTTGGAGTAATATAGGAACAATACTTGCCTATTAGTCTTACCTGGGAACAAATATTATTGGCCATAATGGATGTGACTACTAAAAACCCATGAAAATTTGAGAATACAGAATCTCCTAAACAAAGGAGTTCTCTCTCGTGTGCTCTTGACTCTTGACTCCCGGGACTCTGTTTTTCCTGCTTCCTTGCATTCACCTGTGCTTCCTCCATAGCCATGTGGCCCTGCAGACCCCAGGTGCAATGGACTGATGGACTGCAACAGGGAACACAAACTATGCCAGCCTGCCGCTGGGCTGGACTCTGCTCCAACATGGAAAGGAAACTTTAGACACTGACTATGATTTTAGCTCCCCTGAAACCCAAGCTACACTTCTATATTTTTATATGGATGGGAAATCTATTTTTGTATAGATGGGAAAAGAGTATAGGAGAGAGAAAAGAGGAGTGAGGAGACAGATTCAGAATCAGAGACAGACTCAGAGAAAAATATCTTCTGTTGGTCACTGTGTAAGAGTTATAAAACAGGAGGAATTTTAGAGATTGAAAAGAAATAAGCTGCCTGAGATGGGATAGGGTTAAAGAGCTGAGTGAACAGAGAAAAGGAGAAAGATCCTTTTGGCTCCCTGAGTGAGAATAAAAGGCTTTACTGATATGATGGAGCTGAGTCTGGCACTGTCCAAAAGAGCTTTCTTTGATGATGGAAATGGTCAATATTTGTATTGTCCAATATGGCAGCAACTATACAACTGTAGCTTTTTAGCATCCTATATAATAAACCCTAATATGCAAATCAACCCAACAGTGGAACAACTGGCAAATGACCAGTTGCTATGACACACACTGACCACCAGGGGACAGATGCTCAATGCAGGAGGCCAGCCAAGGTGGGTGCCAGCTGGGGGGCCCCCCAATTGCCCTGCCTGCCAGTCGCCCCACAGATTGGCCCTGATCTCTGGCCAGGCCTAGGGACCCTACCCTAGTCTCTTAGATTTAAAAATTAAAACCTGGCAAGGCTACTCTAACATTGAAACAACAGAATGATGCAGCAATGACATGCATGGACTCTAGTTTGCATATTTTGTGGTCAGCCCTGATTCTGACATCACTGTGTGACAAAACCAATTATTAACTTCTCTCTGCTTCTGTTTTTCCACCCGTAAGATTGGGAAAAAATGGTACTACTGCCTCAGAAGGGTCTTGTTATGTACCACTTCTTATAATCAGGGCAAAAATATCACCTCTTGCACACGCCCTCCCCCCTGGGATGCGCCCACAATCAAGGCACATGCCCTTGACTGGGATCCTTCAGTCCACAGGCTGACGCTCTATCCACTGAGCCAAACCAGTTAGGGCAATACCATTAGAATTTTGACAGAGATTGTATAGTGCTTTGGGTAGCATGGACATTTTAACAATATTAAATCATTCAATCCATGAGCATGAACTACCTTTCCATTTATTTGTGTCTTATTCCATTTTTTTTTAATTGTCTTATAGTTTTCAATATACAGATCTTTCACCTCCTTGGTTAAATTTATTCATAGTTATTTTACTCTTTTTGATACAATTGTAAATGGGGTTGTTCTAATTTCTCTTTGTGATAGTTTGTTATTAGTGTAAATAAATGAAACAGATTTTTATGTATTTGTTTTGTATCTTGCAACTTTAATTTGTTTATTAGTTCTAACAGTTTTTTAATTAGAGTCTAGCAGGGGTCCTCAAACTTTTTAAAGTGGGGGCCAGATCACAGTCCCTCAGAGAGCTGGAGGGCCGGATTATGAACTACTAATTCCTACTGTAACACCTCGGCTGCGCTCACTGCCCAAAAAACCTGGCGGGCCGGATCAGACTCCTCTGCGGGCCGCATGTGGCCCGCGGGCCGCAGTTTGAAGACCCCTGGCTAGAGGGTTTTCTATACATAATATCATGTCATCTGCAAACAGTGATATTTTGCTTCTTCCTTTTCAATTTGGAAACAGTTTTTTCTTTCTTGCCTAACTAGAGGCCTGGTGCATGAAACTCGTGGTGGGGGGGTGGGGATGTGTATCCCACAGCCTGCACCCTCTCCAATCTGGGACCCCTCGAGGGATGTCTGACTGTCTGTTTAGGCCCAAATGCCCTCCCCTGCAAACCTGGTCTCCCCTAACTGTCCCCTGCCCTCTCCTCCCTGCTGGCTTCTGTAATCTCCTGAACTGGCAACTCTGAGGATACAGGTTGCAAGTTGAGCCATTACACTCCCCGACCCCACCCCACCCTCATTGCTTAGAACCAAGTCACCATAGTAAGAGGAAGCCCAGTCACATGACGTGGCCATTGGTCAGTGCTCTGGTCAAAACTGCAACTTAAATTCATCTAGCATCAACAGCCAGTCACGGGTGAACATACCTCCTAGATGATTCCAGCCTCACCCATGGTCTGACTTCATTCACAGGAGAGACCTCCAGCGAGAACTGCCCAGCTGAGGCCCCAGGACCACTACGTTTGTTACTCAGCAATAGATAAACTAAACAAATTAGAAAGCAGACCCCCAAATCGTGACTGTAAATTCACCATCCACCCTCTCTCAGACCTCAAGTCCGGAGGCAGCGAGGGAGGTTCCCTGGACCTACTCACAGAGCACTGAAGTTTGAAAGGCTTGGTGAGCGTGGTGAAGCTGGCGCTGAGAATGGAGTCTGGGTCTTTTTCGCCATCATTCCACTGAGCCAGGAGCGCATCCTCGTAAATGGTAACCCCAGCTGCTTGCAGCGCGCTTTCCACCGCCTTTTCCACCGAATAGTTGTTGATGCAGGTGATGTTGGAAGTGGGCGGGGGCTGCACCAGGTGGATGTTGGCGCCCCTCACGCCGAGGTGTAAGAGCATCTCTATTGTGGTGTAAGTGTCGATTGTATCTCCATAGACAATGACATTCCCTACAAAGGGGGGGGGGGAGGGTGTGTGCTAAGATATACCGTTAAAAACACACAACCTTATTAGTCAAATGCTAATAATGCGGAATTGCTCCCTGCAACCCTCGCTGTTTTCAGCTGCTGGAAGCCAGCGGTGTTACCTAGCAACGGCGACCAAGATAATTTAGTAAAAAATTGGCACAAAACATCCCACAAAGTAGTCAAGTACTTTTAACTCAGAAGTAGGACATTCATTTATGTTTCTGCGATTTGAAAGTTGAAATTATGCTAAATGAAACTGTCTAGAATAACAACCTTTTATCTTGTTTTGTTCTCTCTTTGTCACTTACTAAGGGGGAAATTACTAAAGTTTTCAATATATACAAGTTCTTCTTAAGATAAAAAGGACAATGGTTAAAAATATATATATATCATGTACATGATGGTACGAATATTTTAATATTTAAATGTTGAAACTTGATTTTGAAGAGATTTTTCTCTCTCTCTTTTTTTTGAGAACTAAAGACTAAAATATTCTGCTTTTCAATAGATGATTTTTATAAAGATTCAAATTCTGATTTTTTAATTTACTGTGCCAAGACCCAGCAAAAGTGACCAAAGGGTATTGTTTTGGTAAGTGAAAAGAAAATCATAACTTTGGAAGATTTCCCTTGTGTAAGAACATTGTGATGCAACATTGAGATGTCCTACTCATTTCATCAGTTGTAAGATCAAAGATACTACTAAATGAGTGAAATGTATTTATGCTACTTCCATGCTATTTTTGACACTGAATTGGCATTTTTTACCTTTTCACAAAGAAAGAAACTGCTATAGACTCGGTTTTCAGGCAAGCGGTAACAATTTACCCCAAATGATAGATTCATTGAATCAAACCTTCCCCCCTTTACAAAATGATATGAAAAAGAATTTAGAAGCAAAATAAATGGCAAGTGTATTTATTCAATTAGGTTGACTAAATTATGCAAAAAAAAAAAAAAATCTATTTCAATCCAAAATGGAAATAAAGGTGTAATGGCTCGTCTAATTTGCTTAGAAAAAAATAACTTTCAGATGACTTCTCTGAGGATAACAGCGTTTAGAAAGTTCTCCCAGACTCCCTGTTGTTCAAATTGGGAACAGCAAGAGGGCACTGAAGCCAGAGGCAGTGTCCTTCCTTCTTGCCTTCACTGGGAAGCTCCAATTTTGTGGCTAGTCCCTCTTCTAACGCAACAGTCACCGGTGAGCTGCATTCTCCTTGGCTGAAAGTGCCAGTGTTTTGCTGAAATTACGGAGACTCCCACCTGCTGTGAAACCTAAATCCAGTGTCTGGTACAATGAAGAGCCAGCCTGCCAGGAAAGCCAAAACTTGAACCTCATGCTGTCAAATGTTTGAGGTCTCATGCCCTTTTAAAATATGCACGCCAAAACAAGGTTCATTTTCAGTGAAACGAGGTTAAGTGGTTAGGCCCTCAATAACTCGGAGTTTAATATTTTCCCAATCTCCTTCATGTTACCTTGTAGTAACTATACCGTGAGCTGAGCTTCTTCATTATAGACTGACTCATGGAAGCCCAGGCAGATTCATTGTTGCTGGGGTTTAGAAAGCTGTACTGTCTGCCCACAGATTGTAAGCAGCTGGAGAGGATGATAATACTTTTCAATTCAAAAGGTAATACATTTTACAAAACCTCTAAGGTTTAAGTTAGATGTATATTTATAGCCTAACTTCTAAATATTTTTGTCTCATGTTAAGTTTAATTTAAAACAATCCCCACTCCAAATATGAAACTTTGATTATCATCACGGTCAGCTATTGTCACAATAATGCTGCGTAACAAACTATCTCCAGAACTCAATGTCAAATGACAACAAGCTGTTGTAGGTTGGCTCACACATCAGTGGGGTGGCTGATGTCAGCTGATCTGACTCAAATTTGTGGCTGGGGTCAGGTGTGCAACATGTCTTTCACCTTCAATGGACAGTCAGATACCTGAGGCACATTCTGTTTATGGAGAAATGCAGGAGTACAAGAGGGCAAGGGCAACTGCTCAAGCACTTTTCAAGCCTCCTCTTATATTACATCCTCTAACGGTCTATTTATCAAAGTGAGTCACACGGCCGTGCCCATGGTCAAGAAGGCTGCAAGTACACTCTGCCTGAAGTAAGAAAGGGAAGGTTTGGACAATAGTCCAAACCATTAGTCATATTGGGCATATATTAAATAAACTTGAGGCCTGGTGCACAAAATTCGTGCACTGAAGGGGAATACCTCAGCCCAGCTTGCACCCTCTCCAATCTGGGACCCCTTGGGGGATGTCTGACTGCCAGTTTAGGGCTGATCACATAAGGATTGGGCCTAAACTGGCAGTCGGAACTCCCTCTCACAATCTGGAACTGCAGGCTCCTAGCTGCTTGCCTGCATGCCTGCCTGATTGCCCCTAACTGCTTCTGCCTGCCAGCCTGCTCACTCCCTAAATGCTCCCCTGACAGACTGATTGACACCTAACTGCTTCCCTGCTGGCCCAATTGCCTCCAACTGCCCTCCCCTGAAGGGCTGTTTGCCACCAACTGCCTTCCCCTGCCAGCTTGATTACCCCAATTGTGGAAGCCATCTTGTGATTACATGGGGCAGCCATCTTGTGATTACATGGGGCAGCCATCTTGTGACAACGTGGGGGTGGGTGGTCATCTTGTGATGACATGGGGGCAGCCATTTGTGATGGCATGAGGGCATGAGGGACACCTAGGCTTTTATTAGCATAGATGACTGTATGATCCAATTAAAAAGTGTTTTTCATTTAAACGTATTTATATGCTTACTTATATTTCTCTTACCAGGTGTACCAGTTACTAATGTGGATTTTATAATCAAAGAAAACACGATAATTTCTAGAGAAACATCAAAAGTGCTATATTCAAAGTGATGTCCATCACTAGCTACACATTTCCTCCATCACTCAGGTAATTTGAGGATACCGTTCCAATAAAACTTTTCTTGTTTTGAGGCAAACCATTCAGAGACCTAATTTTCCACTTCTTTGTATGTTTTGAAGTGCTGCACAGAAAGTACATGTGCCATCAATTGGAACAAGTGGTAATCTGAAGGAGCAAAGTCTGGTGAAAATGGCGGTGGATTAATACTTCCCTAGCAAGATCTTTAATTGTGTCTTTAACTGGCTTTGAAGTGTGTGATGGTGCGTTATCGTGAAGCAAAATTACCTTGTCCTGTCTTCTGGCACATTCTGGTTGTTTCACAATCAAAGCGTGTTTCAAATTGATTATTTATTGTTGGTAGTGATTAGTATTAACAGTTTCACCTGGTTTTAGAAGCTCATAATATACCACACCTTCTTGATCCCACCAAATTGTCTTCTTTCCGAAGTGATTTGGCCTTGTAATCAATGTTGACGGTTGACCTGGATCAACCCATGATTCTGGGTGTTTGGGATTCTCAAAATAAATCTACGTTTCATCACAGCCACAATTCAATGCAAAAAAAGACTTTTTTTCATGCCAATGAAGAAACATTTTACTGATGACTTTTTGGTTTTCCATTTGTCTTTTGTTCAGTTGATATGGCATCCATTTTTCTTCCTTTAAAATCTTTCCCATTGCTTGTAAATGCTTAGAAATATAAATAAGCATATAATCTTTTCCATTGCTTGATCAGAAATTGTTGGCTGAGCAACGTTTAATCTTTCTGCAAGTTGTTTTTGAGTTTGACACATGTCATCATCCAATAATGCTTGTAATTGTTGGTCTTCAAACTATTTTGGTTGACCTGGATGTTCTTTGTCTTTCACATAGAAACCATCACTTTTAAAGTGTTCACAAGTATCTTGAGATGGAGCATGTTCACCATAAGCTTCCTGAAGTATATGATAACTTTCAGCAGCACTTTTCTTCAAAATAATGAATTAAAACTTCCCATAAATGTTCTTTTTTAGCACAAAATTTGACATTTTTAAGCATAAAAATATCTATGATGTTAACCCCTTCAGAAAATTTGACATATAAAGTTTTGAAGCTTGCTGTCACTACAACAAAAAAGCATACATATCAAATTCCATATATATAAACATATGTATAACTTCATCTATTGAAAAACATCCGTATTATTAACTGATACACCTGGTATTCCCTATAAAATATAGTAGAATCTCATTGTAATTTGTTACTAAATAAAAACATGTCATATCCCTCCACAAGGATGACAAGACCCTATGTAACAAAATCAGCCCATTACTCTTTGCCATTGATCTCTTGCCTTTTAAAGGGGATTATTTTTTCCATTATCTTTGTGTACTTGTGAGTTCTTTCTACATCACTTTTATTTTGTAAAGAATTTTTAGATTCCTATTTATCTCATAACTCCTACGTACCAGGCACAGAGCATAGCACTTTTATACACAATCCATTATAATTATTATTACTAGTATTATCATCACCATCAATAACAATATTTAAAGCTGTTAACAATAATATTGTTATTTTTAAAAAATTATCTTTATTGTTGAACCTATTATAGATATGCCCTTCGCCCTTCTCCCCCCGAGCCCTCCACCCTGCCTTCCCAGGCCTTCATCACACTATTGTCTGTGTCCGAAGGCAATGCATATCTACAATAGAATAATAAAAGTGTAATATGCTAATAAGACCGGACAGCCAAATGACCTTCTGGACGTCATTCCGGATAAAGTTGTGGTGGCAGGGGCTGAGGCAGAGGCGGTTAGGGATGTTGAGGCAGGCAGGCGAGTGATTAGGGGTGATAAGGCAGGAAGGTGAGCAGTTAGGGGCAATCAGGCAAGCAGGCAGAGGCAGTTAAGAGCGATTAGGCAGGCAGGCAGAGGAGTTAGGAGTGATGAGGCAGGTAGGCAGAGTGGTTAGAGACAATCAGGAAGGCACACAGGTGAGGGGTTAGGAGCCAGCAGTCCTGGATTACGAGAGTGATGTCCGACTGCCAGTTTAGGCCCAATCCTGCAAGGGCTGGGATGGGCCTAAATCCACGGTTGGACATCCCC